CTCCTGTCAACATTGTATATTTCTATTTGATGATTTCTGTGTCAAACATTATATGGAAATGTTTCCAAGTATTTTCTGTATTAACTGTGAATGAATAGAACAAAAAAAATTGCCTGTGATGGGAAAAAAAAAAAGTTAACCCGGAAGTGCATCTGCTTGTCTCGGGCGAGGTGGCTTCAAGGTTACTTCGCGGAGTGGGCACTCTGGTGGCGCAGGCCCTGAGGGCCCGCGGGCCCGGTGGCGCTGTTGCAACACGCTCCATGGCTTCTGCAGGTGGTGTTCCTACTGATGAGGAGCAGGCCACAGACCTGGAGAGGGAGATCATGATCGCATCTGAGAAGGGACTGGATCCATACAAAATGCTACCTCCAAAGGCAGCTTCAGGCACCAAGGAAGACCCTTATTTAGTCCCGTCCATCACCAACAAGTGAATAGTGGGCTGCATCTGTGAAGAGGACAACTGTACTGTTATCTGGTTTGGGCTGCACAAAGGCGACGCTCAGCGATGCCCAAGCTGTGGAGCCCATTATAAGCTGGTGCCTCACCAGCTGACCCACTGAGCCCCTGCGTTAACTTTTCAGAATGTGATAGAAAATTTCTCTCTAATAAAGACTAGCCATTGTATTGGCTCCTCCCATAGGTAGCTAGTCTTACTTCTGTAAAAAAAAAAAAAAAAAAAAAAAAAAAAGACGTTCAAGATAACTCAAGCTTCCTTGCATTTTGCATTGGTGCAACCCTCTGTTGCTGGTCCTGACTTCTCACATTCTCAAGCACCAGCTTATCCACTGTGGTAGTTTGAATGAGAATGCCCCAAATCTCAGATGTTTGAATATTACCATTTGGGAGAGATCTAGGGAGTGTGGCCTTGCTGGAAGAAGTATGTCACAGGGGTTTCAAAGCCATGTGCTATTCCCAGTTCACTTTCTGTTTTTTACCTGTGGTTCAACATTCGAACTCTCAGCCCCAGGCCTGTGGCACACTAGCTCCACTCTAGCAGGAGCCACCTGGGGATTCTAGCCCCTGGCAGAGATACCGCAAAGCAGCAGCTCCAGGCCATGCCAGGTAGGCCTCACTCAAGTGCTGCCTGAGGGCCCTCGCCCCTGCCCGCAACACAGCAACAGCTTCCTGTCATTCCATGCGGCTGGTGGGGCAGGACTCAACCAGGAGCCACCCAAGGACTCTAGCGTCAGGCTGGGACATAGCCACAGCAACAGATCCAAGCCATGCCATGTGGCTGGCAGGGGCAGTAAGATGCTTTTATGGTGAACGAATACAGTGTGGGGAGTTGGAAGAGGGGTGGAGCGATTTATGGGCTGGGGAGAGGCAGTTCTGAAGAGGTGAGGGTGGTGAGGAACTGGCTGATGTGAAAGGCCTGGTTGCCACCTGTGTCCAAGGTGATGTCTGGACATGTGCTATTGCCAAGGGCCATTCTTGGTCCAAAGCCCTGAGAAGCAACTGAGCTGATGTCTGTGCCTCTTGTCGCCACTGAGGGCAGTGCAGAGGCCGCTATTTGGGGCCAGATTGGTGTCTGAGAGCCGTGCTGCCATGGGGCCATGTAAATGTGAGTGGTGTGTGCGGCCACCTGGGGCCATGGTGACATTGGGCCCGGGCTGCTGCTGAGGTCCATGTTTGGGTCCATGGCTCTACAGCAGCCAGGGTCTGAGTTAATGTCCATGGCCCATGTTATCACCAAAGGCCACAGAGATGCCTGGGGGTCTGGTCAGCCAAATGAGACTGTTGTTGTGCCAGGGCTGCTGCCGAGGGTCACATCTGGGTCCATGGTCCTGCTGTGGCTGGGTTCTGTTGATGTCCGTGGCCTGTGTCGCCATGGGGGTTCGTAGGAACCAAGAGTGTTGAAATCTGAAGGTTGTGCTGAGCTGGCCCTGTCCCTCACTGGATACTGCCACAGGAGATCTAGCCCCTGCAATCAGGAAAGATGGCCCCACCCCTCACCATGTGCATGCACCTCACCTGGGCAGCACACTAGGGCTGACCCTGTTGTCAGGAAGCAGGTGAACCAGTCCTGAGAGTGAGAACAGCAGAGCTGGCCCTGACACCCCCTCGTCTGCCATGTGGTGGCACGGGGGAGGGAAAGATGCCCTTGCCCCCCCACCCCTTGCTGCCTGTGGTCAGTGAGGGGCTGGATCACGAAAGATGGAGAACTAGCCTTGTCCCTCACTGACTGCAGCACACGGGGGAGAGCAGGCCCTGCACCCGGCCTGGGCAGTGCACTAGAGCTGACCCTGTTGGTGGTGGTGCAGGTGAGCCGG